AGCCACCCCTGCGACGGCGGCGGCAGCAAGCCGTGGACCGAAACTCCGTGCCCGCCCGAGTCCCGTGGCTGTGGCCGTGGGCTTCTGGCAGGAAACTACGGCCGCAGCTCGGCAGCACGGGGGCGTCGCAGCGTGCCGCCGCCGCCGCGCTGCCCCCCGGGCACGGCGGCGGCGGCAGCAAGCTTGGGCCCAAACGCCGTGCCGCCGAGTCCCGTGGCTGCGACCGTAGACCGTGGGCCGGAAACTGCGGCCGCAGCTCGGCGGCACGTGGTTCTGGTCAAATCGCCAAGCGTGCAGCAGCGCCGAACCACGCTTCCCGGCCTCGGCGCATGCCTTCAGGGGCCCCCTATCGCTGGGCACACCCCTCCAACACCGAACATGCGCCCGGGGGGGAGGGCGGCCCGGGCGGCCCAGGCCAAAGTGGGCCGCCCTCGAGCAAGAGGCGGCCGGGCTGTGTGCTGAATGAATGAATGAATGAATGTGTGTTTGTGACTTTTTGTGTGTGTGTGTGCGCCCCCATAAATTTCAGTCACTCATGGGGGAGTTCTTGAGCTCAAGGCACAGGTGGTGCGGCTGCGCTGGTGCAGCTGCATCGGCAGCTACCGGCGGCACCACCCAGGCACCCGCTGATGTGCAATTGCGGGCTCCCCGCGCACTACTCACCGAGGGCGCAGACACCAGCAGCAGCGCAATGATCGCCAGGCCGCTTGTCAGCAGCAGGGAAGTGGCGGAGCGAGGCATGGAGAGGGTTTGTGCTTACGCTGGTGCTTGCACAGCCAGGGGTGGCGTCCTGGAGCGGAGACAAGAGTTATCGAGGGCGCGCTTCCTGTCGGGATTTATATATGCGCGTCAGAAGGTAGCACGCATGGAAGATATGGGGGACCTGTCTTCGGTAAGTACAAAAGAAGCTGGAAGGTAAGCGCTAGCTCTAGCCTTGTTTAGGCTGGCGCATGTGCCATTTGACAAAACCCGTTGCTCGGTTAGGTGGGCGCAGAGGAATGAGCTGCCCAAAATTGATTTTGTGCAGTACGTGATGCCTACCCATCTGATAGTGCACTTGTGGCGGCGGCGGCGTGACGCATCAGCGGCTCTCCCCCTCAAACCTGCGTTGCTTCCGCTCGGTTTTCGATGAATTATCCATCCACAGTCGTATTTAAGATACCACTTTTAACCCGCCGCTGCGCGCGGGGATCGGCAGACCGCCATCCATGGCCGCCAATTGGCGGGGGGACCCCATGCAGGCCGCGCCGACACCTTGCCCCGGCCTGCGTCTGCTGCTGCAACTGGAAGGGGTGGCAGGGGAGGCCTCCAAGGTGTCAGGGGCCGCGGCACAGCCAGGGGAAGGGCGGCTGCGGCGGCTGGAGCTGCGTGCGGGCAAGCTCCGCTCAGCCGGCAGAAGCTGGCGCCGAGGAGCAGAGGGAGGGCGACAGCGAGGCGTCAGAGGGGTGGAAATCGGGGAGTGAGGCGTGAGAGGGCGAGGCAGCAGCCGCTGCGGAGCACAGGTCAGATGAGCCGGAGTGGGAGCCCGCCGAGCGCCCGGCTGGTAGGGCGCGGCAGGAGCAGGGGACGTGGTGCAGGCAAGGTCTAGCAGGGCAGAGCCGCGGCCGCCGCGCCAGCTGCTGGCAGGGGGCGCAGGGGCAAGGCAGCAGGCAAGAGGGGGTGCGTGCCCAGCCCGCCGGCGGCGGAGGAGGAGTAAGGCTTGGCATACCACAGCAGTCGTGACCCAGCTTGTGCAGGCCGTGGTGCGCTGCCGCATTAGCCTGAATGCTATGGATGCCAACCAGCTGCTGGATGCGCTGCAGTCGGACGAAGTGCATGCCCACTTTCCCAGCCTGCGCCGCCTGCTGGCCGAAGCGAGGGCGACCAAGGGGACGCAGCCGCGGCTGCTCCACGCCAGCACCAAGGAGTATCAGCAGTCCGTGGTGCATCTGGGCACGCACCGCCTGGCAGAGGTTGCAGCTGCCTGTGCCGCCAGCCAGGCGGCAACCGTGGCAGCGGCGGCCGAGAAGGCAGTAGTCGGCTCAGCAGCCTGGCTGCTGATCCAAGCTGTTTCTTACATTGCTTTGTGATGTGGCATCATGTGGCAGTACAATGGACAATCTAAGGTCACCGGCCAGCCAGGCCGAGGTCAGGTGTTTTCAAGCGAGGCAGAGCGGGGGGGGGGAGAGAGAAAATGCAAAGAGATGAAGTGACTGTGTGTCGTGCTGGCTGCCTGCGCCTTGTCTAGCTGCCACAGCGGCATGGACCCTGCTGCTCAGGGGCGTAAGCAAGACTGTGGTGGGCAGGTGGGCGCTCATGGCGCCTCGGGCAGCTTGACAGCCACAGCTCCGTCCGCAAGCTGGCGCTCGCGCCGCGGGCCGATCTTGCCGCCCGCCGCTTGGCGGCTCTTGCCAAGGCTGCGCCGCTGCTTGCCATAGCCTCTTGCCGCTGCTGCGCCGCATAGGCCTTGGCATCCTCGATGCGAGCCTCCAGCCATGATTGGCTGCCAGTCGCAGGCTTCTGCCTGCACCTCCGGCTGCCGCTCCACCCAGGCCTCCAGCGAGACGGCGGCGGGCCCAGCCTCCACATCCGTGGCCTTTGCGCTGCTGCTGCCCGCCAGCACAGTGGCTGCACCCGCCCCCGGCGCCTCCACCCGGGCAGCCAGCTCCTGCACAGCTGGCGCCCCGGCGGCCACCGCCGCCGCTGCCTGCTGCTCCGTCGAGGCGCCGCCGCCGCACGCAGCGGCGGTGGCGCTCAATGCGGCCTCGCTCCCGCCGCTGGGATGAGGCCTCGGCTGCCATGCGGGTGGTCTCCCGCAGCTTGAGGTCGGCCTCAAAGGCGGCCGGCTTCGACACGTGCTCCACCACCCAGTCGATGGCGCACTCTAAGTGGTGAGTCGAAGAGGCGTCGCCGCATGTGTTGCAGTCCACTGCACAAGGGCGGCATGGTACAGGAATAGAGGGCACACGATGAGCGAGCAACACGATCAGGTGGCAGCGGCGCGGGGAGACGGGGAGACGGGCAGCGGCGGCGGCGCGCAGCAGGGCCAAAGCTCATCACTCGGGCGGCTGCACTGGACGAGTGCGGGGGGTCTCAGCATGGCAGCACGGCTGGCTCTGCTAGCGGCTGGGTGGGCACGGCATGGCGAGAGTGATCCGATCGTGGCTGCGAGGAAGGGCTCGCCTGACATGTACTCGTCGGCACTGGAGATGTCTTCTCCACAGATGCCACGCATCGGGCCCGGTCCTCCGGTGCCTCCTGTGGGGCGACTGGGTGTGGGGGCGGCCTAGCCAGTGGCGGGCCTTTCCCCATGGCGGCAAATTGAGAACATCCGAGAGAATGGCTTTGGGATGGATGTGGGTACCCGAGGGGCGCGCCAACTAGTTGGGGGGCCGCCACCTCGGCGGCCTGCGCCGCCGCCAGCGCCATGACTCTGCCCAGATTTGCATTCCTTCTCCTCTGCGCGCCCCATTGAAGGCCCTGCCGTTTTGATGCATCGCAGTGCAACGCGTGCATGCTGCAACACTGCCATGTCCCTGGGGGGGACATGCAGCGGGGAACCATGAACCAGAATGCACCGTGGTGGTCCTGATCTCAGCCCAAGTGACTTTGGTTTGTTAAAGAAAAACCTTGAAGATCAATCCACCATATGCAGAGTTTCCAAAAAGTAGGGAGAACGATGTTGAAGATGGGGACGCGCAAACAAGCGCCACCAACACATTCGCATGCAAATTATCCGAGGGAAAGGTGCTGAGGAAGGTCGCGGAGCGATGCAAGAGGGGTACCACAGTGTGGGGAGGAGCCATGCAGAAAGACAGACGGCCAAATAATGTGCGAGCAAATAATCTACCACCAGAAACTGATCTCAGATCGCAGATTCCTCAGACTAGGGGAGTCCATGCTGCTTGTAAGCCCTTATATTTACCAGTTGCACCCAGCCACGTTGATGATGGCGCCCTTGGCCGTCACGCCTGCGCCCAGCACGTTGGAGCTGAAGGCGGAGTTGACGATGGCGGCGGCGTTGCCGCCGGCGTTGCGCAGGGCCACCAGGGCGGGAGCAGCAAAGACTGCGCCGCCCTGGGGGTGGTCGAAGATCTGCAGGAACTTGGTGGTGCCACTCGAGATGTTCTCGACAAAGTGGTAGGCCCCTGCAGGCAGGCAGGCAGGCAGGTAGCTGAGCGAGCGCCCACTGCTGTGAGCTGTACCAACTCCACACAGCCATGTGAGGGCAAGACCTGCGCACGTGTGCGCACGTGTGGCAGTAGCACAGCAGCCCGGTGACACCCCATCACAAACTCACCCTGCTGGATGTAGCCAGCCTGGTTTGCACTGATATCAGTCACACGCACGTTGGCCTGGTCCTCCTCACCACGGAACTGGTAGATGCGGATCTTGCCTGCGCCACACAAGGGAGCAAGGGTGAGAGATGCGCAGGCACAGCAACACCTCAGCCAGGCAGGTGCCCTGTAACCAAAGCATGGCATTGAAAGCTGGATGAGCAGGCAGGCAGCCACTGACCCTGGGTCACGAATAGCGTCTCAGCAGAGTTGGGGTGGACATGCACGGCCACGGCAGTGCAGCGGTTGAGGGTGAAGAGCGCCAGGGGGATGGCGCTGCTCTTGAAGACGGCGCCGGCGCCGGCACCCCCGCTGCGCTTGATGGATCCTGCCCCGGGGAAGTCCTGGGCCTGGTTTGTCCCCTGCAGCGAAAAACAAAGATGCAACCAATAAAGAAAAAAGAGGAGCCCAGGAGATCAAGCCCTCTGCGGCGGTGGCGCTGGCGTTTGTGAGGGGTGAAAAGGTGAACCAAGACACCATCTGTGCCCAGTGTCGCACACCGCCTGCTTACCACGCCAAACTGGAACCTGAAGTTGGCAGGATCGGTGATGACCTCCTCGCGAACCTCAAAAACGGCGCCAGCACGGGCCTGCGGCAGACCACACACAAACCCGGCGTGAGGGGGAGGGCAAGCAGGCAGGCGGGCGGGTGTGTGTGTGCTGCTTTATATGTGCGTGTGTGTGTGTGCACAAATTTCGGCCACTCATGAGGGAGTTCCTTGAGCTCAAGGCACGCTGGTGCGGCTGCGTCGGCAGCTACTGGCGGCACCACCCAGGCACATGCAATTGCGGGCTCCCCGCGCACTACTCACCGAGGGCGCAGACACCAGCAGCAGCGCAATGATCGCCAGGCCGCTTGTCAGCAGCAGGGAAGTGGCGGAGCGAGGCATGATGGGCCGGCGGGTGGGTTTGTTGCTCTGCAGCAGAGAGGTGGTGCCCAGGAAGGGAGACAAGAGTGATTGAGGCGCGTTTCCGACGGAAATATATAGATGCGCGTCAGAAGGTAGGCCGGAGATATGGGGGACAGGTAAGTACAGAAGAAGCTGGAAGGTAAGCGCTAGCTCTAGGATGGCGGGCAATGCATGCGCCCTTTGAAGAACACCAATGCTCCGGTAGATGGGCGCAGAGGAACGAGCTGAAAAGGGGAAGATTTTGTGCAGTACTTGATGCCACCCATCGTTTGAGCTCGCTATTCCGGGTCGATTCCTGGCCTCTGCTACCGACTAACAACAAGGGAAGTGAGGTAGGGCAGCAGGATCAATCTGCTGCCACCTCGCAGGCGCTGCCTGAGGGCAGCTGCGCCGTTTAACCGCCGGCGGCGCCGCAGATGCCACGCAGCAGGACACGGCGGATTGGCAAGGAAAGGTTTGTGCAGCATGTGCCTCTTTGATACAGTGCAGCAGCCACAATTAATGGCAGCATATCACCCATCCTTGTCCATTCTCTTGAGTATTAATACCTCGCCGGCTTTCATTCTGTTCGTTCATAACATCATAACATGTACATGTTATGGAAAGGATTGTGCCAGCCATGGGCGTTTAGCAGTACTCAATGAGGGCAGTGCAAAAAGAGGCAGTGCAACGGGTATGTCAAGGCCGAACGTGACAGCAGCTGGGGTCAAAGCCTGAAGAAGGGCTTCTCCACCAAACGGTGCAGCACAAGTGCACATGCATACGAGCATGCCAGGGTGAACAGGCAGGTGGCCACCAGGCCTGTGTACGGGGCGGCTGCGATGAGTGACGGCAGCACTCCTGCCGGGAGCAGGAACATGGCGCCCCAGAGGCGAGCCAGCTCGGCCATCAAGTAAAGGCAGTACGACAATTCTGAGAGGGGGGTGAGCAGAGGAGAGCGCAGCGCAGACGCCAGGGCGGCGTGCAGAGGGTCAGTGTGCAGCATGAGGGCCAGCAGGCTCATGCAGATCGTGGTGGCCAGGAAGGGAGAGCCGTAGTACAGGAACGTCGCATGGAGCTGCGTGGTGAGCGGGCGCCACAGCGCGTCGCCGGGGAGGCCATGCGGGTTGCAGTGCAGCACGGTGTGCACATAGATGGCCTGGAGGGACAGCGCGGCGATGGCAACCAGGGTGCGCCTGCGGATTGGGGAGGGGAGGGGCCAGGGCAGGGTCGGCACGGCACTCCGTTGGCAACACTCACTCACGCCGGGCTCACCCCCCATCATGCTGCTGCCCTCCTGCCGCAGCTGGGGCACACCTCCCGCCCCGCCCCTCACCTGCGCAGCATCCAGCTGACAGCGGCGTGCGAGCGCAGCAGCAGGCCCAGCGCCGCGCCCAGCGCCAGCTCCGCCACGCGCGTGCCGGTGGGGAAGTAGGTGGCATCCAGCAGGCTCCAGTATGCAGCAGCCTCAGACCGCTGGGTCAGGTCTCCCAGCGGCAGATGAAGCAGGTGCTGGGTGGAGGCCACGCGCCACATTCGCCACGCGGTGCCGCCCAGCACCGCCGCAGCCAGCGCCACCGCCAGGCGGGCACGGAAACCCGCGGTGCGCGGCCGCAGCGCCCACAGCAGCAGGGGGACCGCGATGAACACCTGGACCTGCAGCGTGAGCGACCAGAGGTAGAGGCCTGCGCCAGGGGGAGCGGCAGAAGTGGGGAGGGGTTGAGGGGCTGGAGGGAGGGGACGGCATGCCAGACTGCGCAAGCCGCCGCGGCTGGGCCCGCCCTTGCCCCCACATGACATAGCGCACACATGCACACCACGTGCAGGCTCACCGCAAGCCTGGGTGACGTCGTTGTTGTTGATGAAGAGAGCGTTGCGCCAGAGGCCGGCGGGGCAGTTGCCAAACGCAAAGTTGCGGAAGGGGGCAGCATGTGGGGCGCTGCCCAGCCCCACTGCGATGAGCAGGTTGGTAGCGGCATAGGCGGGCAGCAGGCGCAGCGCGCGCCGCTGCCAGTAGCGCAGCACCACGCGTCCGCAGCTGGGCTGGGTCGAGGCGGCGGGGCCCTTGGTGCTGCCCTCCAGCGGCGGCAGCAGCTGGTAGATGGCGAAGCAGGCTGAGGTAATCAGGAAGAAGTCAACAGCCAGCGGGCCTCCGATGGAGGCCATCCTGCAGGCAGAGAGGGCGACAGCCAGGGAGGAAACGCATGTTGGTACTGCCGCTGTGAGCCATGTCCCCAGCCCAGTGTGCCCGCGTGGCGTGCCATCCTGGCAGCACCCTGGAACTTTTCCAACCCGTACAATTCATTCATTCATTCAGCACACAGCCCGGCCGCCTCTTGCTCGAGGGCGGCCCACTTTGGCCTGGGCAGCCCGGGCCGCCCTCCCCCCCGGGCGCATGTTCGGTGTTGGAGGGGTGTGCCCAGCGATAGGGGGCCCCTGAAGGCATGCGCCGAGGCCGGGAAGCGTGGTTCGGCGCTGCTGCACGCTTGGCGACTTGAACAGAACCGCGTGCCGCCGAGCTGCGGCCGCAGTTTCCGGCCCACGGTCTACGGCCGCAGCCACGGGACTCGGCGGCACGGCGTTTGGGCCCAAGCTTGCTGCCGGCGCCGCCGTGCCCGGGGGGCAGCGCGGCGGCGGCGGCACGCTGCGACGCCCCCGTGCTGCCGAGCTGCGGCCGTAGTTTCCTGCCAGAAGCCCACGGCCACAGCCACGGGACTCGGCGGCACGGCGTTTCGGTCCACGGCTTGCTGCCGCCGCCGTCGCAGGGGTGCTGCCTGCGGCGGCGGCGGCACGGCGTTTGGGTCCACGGCTTGCTGCCGCTGCCGCCGCCGCAGGGGTGCTGCCTGCGGCGGCGGCGGTAGCGCACGTGGCAACCCCCCCGCGCTTCCTTGCCTCCCATCCACCGGACCCCGTCCTGCGCTTCACTTTGTTTCGGGGAGGGGCTGCTCACTGCTCATTGCTCATTGCTCATCGCACACT